GGCGGTGGAGAGACTTACAGCGGACACTGTTCATTTGCATAGAGCATGCGAATATATGCAAAACAAAAAATGCATATTGTGGCTAGCATAAACAACTCGCAGCTGGCAATTAGTAACTGTGTGATGCGGGCAGCGGGCAGCGGACAGCGGCTACTAGCGGGACATGGCACTAGACTCAATCGCCAATAGCCCGACGGGGTTATCCATTTGCAATTGGCCTGGTCGCAACTGCCTTTGCGACCACCGTAACTAATTAGCGTGTGGATTGGACGAGGTTTATTGTATTGTTCGGTTCTATCGATAAAAATTGATAAATTGCGCCTTGTCGTGTTAATTAAAGGGGCCACACATACCGACCGGCAGGTGGCGCTGCCAAATGCTCGCGCTGTTTTTGTCGCCCGCAAGTCGCGCGCAAATTCAACAGAAACTCAATTTATTCTCTCATTTCTTAAAGTGTTGGCATTTGTGTCCATTGATCGGCCGACCGTGAGATATACTCGTATATATGTTGTGATTGATTAAAGCTAAATTGGTCGTATTTGTGGCTTGATTGCAGTTATTGTTAATGTGAATGTCTGATCAAGTGAAAGTGAGCGCCGATGCTAAATGGAAATGGAGTACATCTGATGATAAAGTGAAGCTAACGCTGTGCCATGTCAGGGTCAAAAGTTGTTGATTGGAGTTGTTATTAAAAATATGCCTTGCTGACGAAACATATTGTGAAAATATAGTAATGAAACAAGACTTTTATCTGACTCTTCAGTTCATGTTTCACATGCCAGCTGAGCTAAGAATCAGATTTTTATTTTTAAAAGTTTTATGATAGCATTACAAGACCTCTGAGATTCATTTGTCGGTTACGTTTTAGCTCTGTTGACTACGTTGACAAAATCATATTTTTAAAGATGACAATTTTTATATATGTAAACTGTTATTCTCCTCTTTAAAATACATATTTAAATACATGAAAAAACATTGCTTTATTTTGCAGTGCTATTCTGCGTACAGATTTGGAATTTTCTGTGCGCCAAACTTCATCAAATTTTATTTAGCTGCATTTCAAATATTCATTTCATTTATTCTTAATTTAAAAATATTTTTAAATATATATATTTTAATTATTTTCAGTTACAATTGCAACTTTGATTACAACAGTCTCTGCCAAGTGAATTAAACGGAAACAAAGCTGGCCTGTAAACGATTTCAAATCATGCTCTTAGCTAATAAAGTGAGCAGCCAACAGACACAATTGATTGATTGCCCAGCGGTGGGCCAGCCAGTCAGTCAGCCCGCTAGTAGACAAGCATCTAGGAAAAAATAGGTGTCAATTCGTCTCTGGCTGCGTTCGTGTGCAGGTGTCACAAGTCGCATAGGTAATATAAATCTTCCGATATCGAGAAACCACTGCGGCGAATGCCATTCAAATACCAATTACAATGTTTCGCATAGCTTAGAGTAAAAGATACGTTTGATTGATTGCGCTTTTTTGAGTTAATCATGGATACGTGATGCTATCGAAATTGTGGGATAATTAACGCCATATTTGTTGTTGTTGTTGTTGTTGACAATTAGACGGCGCACAGACCAAAAATAAATTGCATGTGCGATAAAAATCGACTAAGTTTTGCTTTCGAATGTGGCCAAAATGGTTTCGTGAGCGACTTTTATGGCATTTTTAATGCAAACGATTTGAATTTGAATCAAACGCAACAACAACAAGATTTTGGTTGCAAGTTGATTTGTCGCCTGCGCGTGTCAATCACAAACTTTGAGCTGCAGTTGCTGTTTATTAGTTTTTTTCTTCTTGTTGCTAATAACACGATTTCCAAACGATAATTAGCCAGAGGATAACCACCACAGTGAGCTGCCACTTAATCTAATGACAGTTCTCGGACCCCAGAGCACGCCCCACGTCCCACGCCCCACAACTCCAGCAGTGCACACGGCAAAGTTGTAATTGCTTAAACGACTTCTGGTTTAGACTGCGATAGCTACCTGCAGATAGACTGCAGATACACTGCAGATACTCGCAGTTAAAGTTATGTAAAGTGCTTGCTGGTTAGCTGCTCAGCCAATCACTGACACACTTCCGATATAACCGTATAACCGTATAACCATATCGCGTATAAGGAGAAAAGCCAGTTGCCAGTCAGCCAGTCAGCCAGTCAGTCAGTCAGCTAGCCAGGCAGCCTGCTCCACTTGGCCAAAGACAATGATAACTCATTGAGTCGGTACCCGTTAAGCTTATGGTCAGAGAGCCATAAACTCAATTCAATTCCATTCAATTGACGCGGCAATAAGCAACTTTTTCCGGGCGCATCATCAAATCAAATCAAATCGAGTCAAATCAACTCGAAAGGAAAGTTTCTGTTTTTTTTCTCTTCAACTTGTTGTGCATACAGCGAGGTGTTAGCTATTTTATGGCCTTACTCTCATAATATATATATGTGCTTCTGCTTCATCAGACAGCTGGCAAACAGATGCTCGCATTGTTCAACTCGCGAGGCGCCTCTAAAGGCCTTTGATAGCGTAGAAATTGGACAAGAAATGCTTCGATTGTAATACTTATATAAGCCTGTGTGTTCTTCCTGCATAAGGTTTATTGATTTTTACAACAATTAATAGGATAGCACTCTTAAGTTGTTGTGTATCTACATGCTAAAGAAGTTCACTGGTTCGAAGAGTTTTCCTTTTTCCATGTTCCGGAAATACAAGTGCAAATTCACAGGTTTCGTAATTGCCCAAAGGTTAACTGCACCTTCGGATATATACAATACAATTACAGTGAATCACTTTTCGTGTAATTAATTTAATTTGATTTCTACTGCAGTGCCTCGCTTCCAGTTTGGCAGTTGGGTTCCATTGTCAGCGAGCGAGCTGGGCAACAGGAGCATCGGGAATTGCGGGCTGACTGTCAGCGAATGTCACTTTAAATACGCCAAAACGGCGCAAAAGATTCAATTGGTGGGGCGCCGCCAGACGTTGAAGCAGCAGATCCCCATCACAGATACAGATAGGCCAAACCTGGTTGGCTGCTTCACTGGCTGGCTTTGGCTGGTAGCTAGAGATACGATTACTCTCTCAGTCGTATCTCATATCTGCGCTTGTGTATCGCAAAAGCGACTGTCAAATGGCTGAACTGACAGTTGGCTTTTGCAAAGATGTGGATGTGGCTGTGGCTGCGGCTCTGGTTTGTGCTTGGTTGTTGGATGCTGCTGCCAAGACGGGAAATTGGGTCAGGCATTGCAGGCAGTTGCTTCAAGTCGACTCAAGTGCCGTAGCCGGACGAACTGACAGATCTCCAGGTCCCCAACTGCCCTCCCCCCGGCTAGCTCCTCGCATAAGACAAACTGGCGGCACGTCGGGTCTTCTGCTTTCTAAGCCAGCCCAAAATGAAGAAAAAAAAACTGTTTTACTTTTCGCAGCATATTTATGAACATGAACATTCGACTTGGATATTTATTTCACTGGCGCGATTCCCCAATTGATTTCAATTTTCAGTTTCGTTGCCCGCTCTCTGACACGTGACATGGGATTTCACTTAAGACTGTTAATGCTCGCATAAGCAAACATAAAATGTGCCAAATGTTGGACATGACATGCAATTGGACGTAGCGAGTAGCTCCAGACTTTGAGCCGACACTCAAAAGGACAGCGAAACAAATAAAATTTCAGAAAAAAAACAACAACAAAAACAACACATGTTAGTTAAATAAATAGAAAGAGTATGACTTCAAATCTCAAATCCGACGTGTAAATTGATTTCTAATTATTAAAAAAAAAAAAAACAAAAAAAAAAGATTTTAGCTACTTTTGCCGCGGAAGTTACAAATAATTTCAAGTGCTTATGAGAGCTTTTTCTTCTTCTTTTCTTTGTCTTTCTACTTTTGTATAGGAAACTTTCATATTTAGGCTTTAAGAGTATTTTCAAAGCACTTTTAAATAAATCATTTTCATATGAGAGTAAATAAATATTTGTATTTATTATATATGATATTATTTAAAAAATGTATATTACTAAATTTAAACTAAACTAACCACAATTTGCATAAGAAAAATATATTTTGAAGAATCAATTAAAATCAGAATCAGCTCAAGTTCTCGATATAACAACGTTTTAGCCATCCAACTGGGCAAGAATATTATGGAAGATATATTTCTAAGCCATTTGCTAAGATATAATTAATTGGGTACTCAGCAAAAGAAAGAATATTGGAACTAATTCATATGTTAGTAATCGTTCTCACATATCTTCTTACTAGCAAGTAAATATGAAATTAGTCCCACCCACACATAGTATTAAGTATAATAAAGGAACACGCCCCAGCAAAGCATTTCCTAAATTTTCAGAATATCAAGCAACAACGTATATAATTTCGATATATTTAATGCGGCTTTCAGTCATAAAGTCACACTTGATTTAGCTCATGGCCTAGGCCATTTGCTCTTTTATGTTATTTCTTAAAGAACATTCTGCCCACCAAGTTAGAATATACTTATGCAAATCAGAATCGTAATAATCATATTGCATTATCGTAAAATAAATTGTTTGACACTTGGTTATGGCGCGATTAAAAGCAAATCAAGTCTTTTATGAGCTGGTTCAATAATGCGCTTTTATGTCACTTCTTGAGCTCCACACACAATGATCAATTAACGGTGCTTAGTCGACGCCTCGCCCACATTGGGCGGGGGGTCAGCCGAGCCGTACAAATGTGTTAGGGCATAACGGCAGATAAAGAGGCGCCTCGGCGTATAAAGATGAACGGAAATGGTCGTCGATAATAATAACAAAGTCGTTTCGACAGTTACAAAATGATCTCTCGCAGGCTTTCTTCTGGTCATTCTCTTTCTTCGACTCGGTCATCAACTAGTCGTTAGGGTCAACACGCAGACAAATGCTCAATCGCCACGCATCTAATGCGCCTCCACACACACACACACACAGACACATACACATGTGCTCATTTGTATCTTTGTATCTTAAAGTACGCACTCACCTGCATATAACGTGCTAAGGCTGCATTCCGCTGCGCATGGGATCTCAGCTGCGGCTGAGGTGAGCCCAGCGGACTGACGATCGTCGATGTGGAGCCACCGATGCCGGTGTCATAGCCCTGAGCATTGGCGCCATCAACATCTATATTAGAGAGGGGAAGAGTTTCAGTTAGATGGATGTCTGTAATCGAGCCAACAATCAACTTTTTAGCGGCTTAAAGTGTGCAAAAAAGATTAAGTAAAATGCAATTTTACCATTACAAGACCAGAGCAATGGCAATAGATGTTTGCTTTTAATGGTCTTGGGTAACAAAAGCTGATGATATATGATTAAAGTGTATCTGCTAAACAAACAGCTGCGATCAGGACTGGGCATACAAGATTGCAGTGCGAATAACGAACTTAAGTCGTTGTGCGATCATTCTATAAAACAGATAGCAGATCAGACTGATCTAGATATATTTATGACTATCACCTGACAGTATGTAAATGGAGAATATAAGGCGTGTTAAAATAAATACATACTCTAGAGGTTCTCCTGCCTGATCAGAGATTTGATCGATCACACGCTCTACAGTGCCCCCGTATGGCAACAGCTTACATTACCTATTTATATATATTATTATGTATGCCTATACCAGAAGTAGATTTACATTTGTTATTCCCGGTCGCAGCGTTTGTTGTTCAATTTATATGCCAACTGTGTGAGCTGTGTGTGCCGTGTGTGTTGAGTGTGTGGCTTGGCATGCAAAGTAGGTTTACATGGGCCCAGTCGGTTAACTTCAGAAAGTACTTGAGCACAGCGAGACGTACCGCGTACCGTTGCTCCACTGCCCATGAAAAATTGAAAGTTATGCCCGTTTTTAGTTAATGCTCTGACATGATTTCGCCTGGCCCACTGTGCACAGTGCTCAACTGGCCACTGAATTTATTAACTAGCTGCCCATCGCACACTCTCCTGTCCGTGTGAATTTATGAGCTGGCAAGCCTTGTTGCCGTCTTCACTTTATTTATGGTAATGGGCATATGGGTGTAGTGTACAGCTTATGTCAGCGCTAGCCGAGCCCTAGGCTGAAAGCTGGCCCTAGCTTATTAGCATAGCTAATTAAGTGATACAGTTCGAATGAGTTGTAGGGCTTTGAGAGTCAACTGAATGACACTTGGCAATCAACTGAAGTATCGATACATGACAAGTACATAATGAACCCGAGCTAAGTAACGCCGCTGAGCTGTAGCATAAATAGTTAAATATATTTTTAGCTTGCTGCACTTTTTTACAGTTCTTGAAGATTAAATCTAAGTCTTTTAGAGATGCTAACTCGTGACTAATTTATATTGGCAAATATATGATATTTTGAAGAAACTTTTTACACTAGCCCCATTAAAATTAGGAAGTTTAGACAGGGGTCGGTTAAAATGTGCCGGAAGTAGGCGAACCTGTCAGCTAAGAAAACATATATTCTTGACTAGGATCAACATCCAACTCAATATGAACTTGTCGTATATCTCTTTGTTTATCTGTTCCTAAAGATCTCGGCTATAAATCCCATAAAATCTAACTAATTGAAATTGAATTGCAAATGCAGATAATACTTTAAAGAGATTAGAAAGGATGGATTAGAAAGGATCACATTTCATCGGAATAAATTCGGTAAAACAAAACTAATTTAGACTAGTTCGCTTTGGCTTACGAATAGCAGGGTAGTAAAAAAGTTATATTATTATAGCCTGTAACTAAAGACCAAACATAAACAACAAATCAGACTATAAACCATAAAATCGTATGTTTGACTATGTAAAGAGCTGCGGAATCTGTAATGGCTGTAATTTTAAAGGTGTTTCGCCACTAATTTTTTGCCTTTAAGTATTTGGTGGACAAATTGAAAGGATATCATAAAAAAATAAAAGCACATATACTCTTAAATGGCGAATTCCGAGATAAGAGTGCAACAACAGCATAAAAAACACTCGACACAACACCTTGCAGTCAGAGCTGTCGAGGGTTCGGCTCTTGTTGCACATACTTGTCTGCCTTATATGGCATGTCCATGAGATACGACGAGACAGAGACAGACACCGGCTACTAAAGTACTCACCTTTCAGCGAACTGTTCATGCACATGGGGCACTGGTCGTTGCGGAACATACAGGAATAGCAGCGTTCGTGTCCGCAGGTGTCGATCAGTTTCCGTCGCTTGCCCTTATCGAAGGAAATGCGGCACGAGGGGCAGACAGAGCCGCTGGCATCGTGTTCCAAGAGCCGTCGAATCGATTGAAGATCTGCAAAGCAAAACAAAAATGAGTGTTTGTCTGTTAACATATTCATTTGGTATTTACAGTTGGCCACATAAAAGCGATTATCATTAAAGTGGCATTTAGCACAAGGTATTAAGGTCTAAGCTAAACACTTACTAAATTTGATGGTAATTTAAGAATCTTAATGGATTGGCTGGAGTTAATAAAGTTGCTGATGATAAAAATGTTAAGGAAATGATGATTGAGTTCTAATTGATAGGAAATATAGTTAATGCTATCTGATATTTCGAATCTTATTTAACCTGACTCTTTTAAACTGTAATGTTTGACTTATATAATTATAGTATAATTTTAGTCGTGAGCTTTGTTTGTTAGCAGATTTAATAGTAGAAAGTAGACAGACTAGTTAGGAACTAACATTAAAAAAAACGTAGTTAATTAATTAAAAATATAAAAATGGCAAAGACGAAATATTGTTTAATTATAAATATAAATATTTAATATTATTTATTTAATTAATATAAATTAATATATTTTGCTTTACCCTCAAATATACAAATATTATTTATTTATATTTGTAAGCTAATGAAATTAAAAACATTTAAATTTGTTTACTCTTAAATTGAATAATAATACTATTAATTTTTTCTGATATATTTCAATTACAATTTATTTATTTATATTAAATATTTATTTTCATTTTTTTTATTTGAATTTAACTTTTATTTTTGATGCAAATTATTTTTAATTTATGCCATTTTCAAGATATTTTCTGCAACTATCTGCTAGAAGATCGTTATTTACCTCATCTTATACGACCATTAGATCTTATCCAACAAATCGCCACAAATTCTATGCATATATTAAGCATTCAGCTGGATTTGCTTGCTTGGCTTTGTTTCTTGATTCGTTTGCCTCATGTCGAAGCAATTTCAACGCTTCAGAGTCGCAATTGCGACTGCACTTGTTTGTTTACTATATTTACTTTATTTCTTTTTTGTTTATCTTTTTTTGTTGTTATTTATTTATTTTTTTTTGCAGCCGTTTGCATAAATTGTGTCTGTCAATTAAATGTCGTTTGCGTTTGTCCCAGACTGCAACTGCCAATCTTTGACTGTGTGTGCAACTACCCAAGTCGTCTCTGTGATATCTCGCATTTATCTCTGCCATCAGTAGCTGCAAGTATCTACCCTGCCCCTGCCGCTGCCCCTGGCACTGCTGCTCAACCTGCTCAAGCTGAATGCCAATCGATGGAATTCTTTTCTTGGCTGCACTTTAATTGATTTAATTTGAAACGCTTGGTTTATTATTTCTATTAGCACTTTGTCTTTCTGTGTCAACATTATGTAAAAATGTGTGCAACAATCGGTGGCATTTCGCTGCACACGCAGTTGCAAGTGCTTACAATTTGGTGACACAGCGCTGACAGCAGCACTTGTCATCAATAAGAGATTTTGATACTTACAGGAATCAGTCTAGAAAGCATTTTCAATTTCAAGTTCACCTTTTTCCACATCTCTAATATATCTGTCGTTGTTCACTTTATATAACTATCGTAATATCTGAACACAGATGAGAATCAAACATTATTCATACCATAACAAAAATCTAGAAATAGTGCTCAAAGTTTCAGCCAACCTTTCGAGTTTTATTTGCAATCACTTTAGGAAAGCAATTTCAAAGAGCTCTCTGAGCGTTAAGAGTGCATGATTAGCATGTTGCATATCTATAAGGACTCAATACAATATATTTCCATACTTGCTGCTGCTGCTGCTGCATTTTGCTTCTCTTTTTTGCTCAGCCCCATAAAATATGGAAATTGAACGAGGCTTTTGTAACTCTTGAGCATTCAACGTCCTATTTTGAAGCCCAGTCAAACGCCATGCTGCAATTCCTGTTTTTTTTCCTTCTTTTTCTTTGGTGAGTGGGAACTGCAAAGTCGACATCAACTTCGACGACGACGACGCCAACGAGAACCACGTCCGGTCGTCGTAAAGTGGATTACAAGCGCAGCCGCTCGATCAGCGTCTGGGCTTCCATTCCATTCATGCCCACTTGACAAACACTCAATACGAAGTCTGCCAGCTATTTTTCCTTTTCGCTTGCTTTATTTATGGCAAATCAAAAGTCAAAGTATTTCTCTCTTTTTTATGATTTCTTAAAGCGCTGCCCTTGCCTCAGATATTTTGATATTTTCTGGAATTATGTAACGGAAAAGCCCTCAAATATGCAGATAGCTGCCAATCCTCTCTTTGAACTTTTATATAGTTATATACTATAAAGAACTCAAGTCTATATAGATAAAGTTGGCTTATGATTGCAGTGGACTGATCAATTTGTAGGGTATTTATCACCAAAGTTTCTTGATTATCATAGATATATATTTCCTTAGTTCAACTTGAATAGTTGTTGCTTTATTTCAAATTTGACTCTACAATTTAAAGGGTATTCTTTAGTCGTCATCACACCTAGTTCCGTTACTCGTTTTAATGTTTCGCCAGGTTCTCTGCGCAGTCGCCGCGTGGGCCGCCGCCGCCGCTGCCAGCTGCCAGCAACAGCCACGACGCACAGTCTGGGGGCCTCCAGAGGCACAGCCCACGTTGAGTTTGTGCTTGCTGCTGTTGTTGTTGTTGTTGTTGTTCTTGTTGCTGCTGCCGCCGCCTTATCGTGTGGCACAAACTTTGAACTCGACACAGCTTGAACTTTCGACCGGTGTCATGGGAATTGGTAAGCCTAGCCAGCAGAAGTGGACAAGGTGCCGCCATGGCCTGGCAAAAAAAGGGGCAGCTGCAGCTGCTATGCAAATAATGTGCAACCCTCGTCCAGTGGTCGGGCCCTTGCCCCTGTCCCATTTGGCACATGGCGCAAATTATGAACAGTTGTGTTGAGAGGCAACAAGTGTGCCCTGTTGTTGGCATTTCCCCGCACCACCTGCACCACCTCCTCACTCACTCACCACAAAAAAAAAAAAAAAAACAATTTACAAAATGTCATCCGACAATTGGCATGTCGCTTGTCAAGCGCAAGCGCGGCAGATGCCACCGACAAATGTTCGTGCCACAGGCAGTTGGGGTTGCAACTGGGCTACCTTTGTCTAGCACTTGGCATGCCAATTGCCGCAAATAACCATAAGGTATGTGTAGTGCTTAGCAGGCAACAGGCCATGGCAGAGAACTTTGTCAAGCTTGCTCAAGTAGGAAATCAATAGCAAAGAAAGCTATTTGAGATGGGCTGTAAGAGTTATTGTTGCTAGCATCGATAAAATTTTAATTAATTTATAATTTTTAAAATTAATTTTAAACTGGCTAAATGCTTAGAAAATGTATTTTACTATTTTCCCTATAGATTTTCTTTCACTAATGAAAATAATTTGCTTTTTGATTGAAAATTTGATACAAAAAATTAGACATAACAATTTTTGTAATTCTTTTAATGAATCAATAATAAATTTTTAATTTTTTATTCAATTTCTTTTCAATTCAGAAAAATTGAAAAGTATTTTCCAAAACGTTTAAGCTATCCTTCAGATATTAATCTGCTCTCCGACAGAAAGACTTCCTCAAGAAGATATTCCATATAAAAATATATAGGTTTACGCAAAGCCCTCGCAGCTTTCCCGCTGCTCACTCATTTCCTTTGTCTTGTGCCCACGCCCACGCGTGAGTGGGTTGCCTTTGTGGCTTCAAAGCATAAATATTCTATTATTTTTGTATAAGCAATTCCATATTAATTTCATGGATTTTAAGCAGATTAATTTGCTCCTCTATGAGAGAGAGCGTCCATTTGGGAGTCAATGTACTCGTTATGCTCTCCTCTCTCTCTTCGTCTCTGTCTCTCGCTCACACAACAATGCGCTGTGAAATGCATTTAAATTGCAAAATTATGCAGCTACTGTCGTGGGGGAGGCAGAGCATTAGGGGCATTCCCCCTTTGAGCTGCGCGCTACGCATGCGCGGAACTTTTTTAATTTTATTAGATTTATGCGAATCGCTGAGATAGTTGCGGCTTGGATTTGCGGTTTGCGCCAAATTGATTTGAATTTTCCGCTGCATTTGTTGTTTTTTTTCTATTTTATTTTGGTTCAATGAATGAATTGCATTGGGCTGCCGGTTTGCCCCCACAACGTGCGTGTGTGTGTTTGTGTGTGTATGTGTGTGAGTGGTGCAGACATCATGTGGTTCATGTGGGCGTTTTATTTCAGTTAAATTGGCAAACCGCGGCCTGCGGTCGCTGTGAATCTCATGTGGGCGTTCTGTGTGTGTGTGAGTGTGTGTGTATGTGTGGTGTGTGTTGCCTGTTGGCACCGGCACTTGTTTTCCTTTATGTAATTTCTTTGCAAATTACTTTGAATACACAAGTTTTTCTTGCCTCGACGGCGGCAGCTTTGGGGCCTAATTCAATTTGCGGTTTATCTTCACGGCCTTAAATTGAGAATTTAACTACCCAGCAGACTGCACACAATTCCCAGGGCATGCCGTGGAATGTGTTCTAATAGGGCTAGTCGCAAATTGAAATTACCCACAAACTCGTTACAAAACTATTCTTTGGCATTTCTGGGAAATTGCTGCAAGGAATGTGCTAGGGAAATTCTGGAGAGACTTGAAAATTGCAAACTTCTGCAAAGAGCAAAGTAGATAGATAATAGACCCGGCTATATTTGCATAAATTCTTATATTTTTGACCAAACTTTGAACTTCTTCTGTAGCTACATATGATATCATTATGACCTAAAAATATCATATATATGGTTCTGTGGCGAAGTTTCTAAAAATTGTTTTATAGCTGAATACATGAGTATGGACAGCCCTTTACAGTTTAGCTTAAGACTATTTGCCATGCATATTTACAAAGAAACCTTCCCATCGTTAACTTTTCTTGTTAAATACCTTGCAAAACTTGTTTGAGGTTCTATGAAATTATCGTAAAACAAAGCCGAATAGAGACGAGGCACGAGTTGTCTTTTATAGAGTTGCTTCTTATAGATATGTACATAAGCACGCTCGCATGGATAAAGGTATATAATA